TTTTTTTTCAAGAGATATCCCAACTGCTTTATCATTTCGGAGGTAAGAATATTACTCTGTGCATAAATGGACACCGCCACGATTGTTACGCAGTAGCCTTTGTTAGAAAAAAAAAAATAATAATAATCATAATAATAATAATAATACAAATAATGTACGTGCAACGGGGCAACGCACAAACTCACTTGACTCGTTTCAACACGCGAGGAATTAGTTATCCGAACCATGTACCTATGTGTATGATAATTTCAGCAAGCTAATCGGTCCGAGTGAAAGTTTGTCAATAAAAATAAATAACAATGTTTTTTTCGTTATCTCGTTCAGTCAAGGGGGTATATATTATATACCACGCGCTAACGCGTTTTATGTATGCAGGGCCTAAACAAATAAGTTTTAGTGCGGTTAAAACAATAGTGCCGCTCGCATTTTTTTTGTTTTTTTGTTTTTTTTTGTTTTTTCAATCAACACGAATGTTTAATGATTTGGCAAAATAAATCCTCCATTATCACCTGCATCGTTCGATCAACGTGGCATGGCATTCACGTGGGGGTTGACACTCGTTATAAATAATTCACAGCAAGGGTATATACCTATGTACGTGTATGTGTAGTTAAACAAAATTAAAAAAAAAAAAGAATAGGCAAAGAACAAAATATCAAAAGAGGAAGATGGATAAAACAAGTAAAAGAAGGAGGAGGAGGAGGATGAGGTTTTTCTTATTTGGAAGAACGTCCGTTCACGTCCGCTCTCTCTCTCTCTCTCGCGGCGAAGGATGTATAATATGTTTCTTCTTATCGCGACCAACGATTCGTTTTGGTGTTTCGCAGTACATCAGCAACAATCAAAGGATCAAAGGTGAGCGAATAAACATACATTACGAACAATTTGCCTCATGCGCAACTATAAAGATACTACTGCTAATGTAATGGTAAAAATTTTTATTAAAATTTCTTAACATGTATGGTTAACGGATGAAAATGTTTGATACAACTATAGGGTTACCAATACCGATTTTTCGCTTATTTTTTAATCATTTAAAAATATTCGTGAAAGTACGGTGAAGTATTATATATACACCCTTGCAACGTGCCGAGCTGCAGAAACGTATATATATAAGGCCACATGCTTGGCACCGAGCGCAGTTGTTTTCGTAAAAATATACATGTATATATAGGGGAATGCATTTTTCCGCATTTACTACGGTAGAAAAAGCAACAACGTTACGTACAAGTGCAACCTCGGCAAACAAAAAAGTGTGTGTGTGTGTGTATAGATGTATAGATAGTTAGTGTCGACAAGCAAGGAGGAAAAGCACCAGGAGATGAAAGGAATCTGTTTTCCATTACCCCGTGCACACAATGTGTATACATGGGCTGCAGTTGCCGAGGCACGCGCGAGCACCGCAACCAACCAACCAACAAAACCATATATAATACCACCCCCTCTCTCTCTCTCTCGACGATGTTGCGCTCTTTATAAAGCTCACGCCCTCCTCGAGCCTCGCTGCATGTTTCTTCGTCTCTTCTTATTATTTTCCTCCTTCTTGTTCTCTCTCTCTCTCCACCTGGGCCACAGAGAGCGCGGATATACCTGGAGGCCGCCTGTACCTATATACCTACCTTATATACATGCACTACGAGAGAGAAGATGGGGAGGACTATATAACAGGTGTGCCGACTCGCAGTCTCGCCCGAGCGTTTTTCCCTGTCGGTGTGTCTGGCCGGGTCTGTTGGTGTCGGTGCCGGCACCGGGTTGGGGATTCCCGCTCTCTCCTCCCTTCAGTTGGCTATACCTATATATACACATGTGTCTCTTTCTCTTCCACGAAGTGCGGTACATTATATATATATACACATACTGCACTGCACTGTCGATGCTGCATTGCATGGTAGCTTACAAGGAATTATGTGGACTTTCTTTCCTTCTCCTGTACTTGCTTCTTCTTTTCCTTTTTTTTTTTTTTTTTTTTTTTTCTCTACTCTCAACTTACATGCACATCACTCGAATTTTGACTGATCTCCGTGAATATAATACATTTATTCCCAACTTTATATATATAACGACCTTAAACTTACAATGAGGTAAACGAACGCGTTAAAAAGGGAGTATATACGGTAGTTAGTGGTTTTCGAATGTGTGTAACTTGTTTTGTCGTCTGCGTAACTGCTCGTACTAATTGCTTCCGTTAAGATACGAAAAATTAAAAAAAAAAAGAAATACGTTCATACATATAGTGTTATTTTTGTATCAGTTATGTACACCAACAAACACACATAATTGTCATATTTCATCGTAATGTGTTTGTAATCCCATGTAGGCGCAACGAAAAATACGCGTATACATGACACGAATGACCCAGTAATTGACAGACAACAAATCGTTTTGCACCGCTATCGCCGTCGAATTGATAAAATTTTATCACCCTCGCACTAAAATAGCCACATAAAACTGTTTTCCTTGTTATTTTTTGTTTTCATTGAATTTTACAATGCACGCCGCATCTTTTTCGCGCGAAACATCGACCCTCGGCCGAGTAAGGAAAAACTTGATATTTTGCGCGTCGATTCGTCAAACAAACATCAAATTCAACGCTGACCCAACGAGGGGTCCTATACAATAAAAATTACGAAAACAACTATTCGAGATTCGCAACGAAATAACGATATTTCCTTCCGGTGCTCATCACCGACACAATGTGTATCCAATGACTGTTAAATTATTCCACACAAATGGCATTGAAATTCCAAGTTTGAATGTAATATCAGCGGACAAAAACAATTGAAAAATCGCGCGCTCGACTCGAGATAATTGATCCGAATTAAGAGCACCGAGCCGACCCGCGCCACTGCCAAAGCTTTTCATTTGCGTGTAGCTCTAAAAATCGAGCGATCGGCAATTAAAATATACACAATGGGCTGACTTTGAGTCCAATAATACAAAGTATAAAATATACGTACCCTCGAGTCGGCCGAGTCTCCGGCAACGACGACAGCAGTGCCGGCCAGTAGTACAAGCAGGTGCACCAGCATCCCGAGCCGCGTCGACATGTTCCTCGGCGTACCGATCTCTTCCACCTCGATAGTCCAGCGATCGCCTACTCGTACGTCCCGGGGGCAGAGGGTGAAACAGGGGCTCGCTTCCAAAGTGCGTCAAGCGCGGCGACATCAACGACGATATCACTGCTGGCTGCTGCCAAATTTCAAAGCCCCCGGCGAGCAGGCCATTCCCTTTTTTTTTTTTCTTTTTTTTTTCCCTCCCGAGTCGGAGGAAGGTGCGGGATAATAAACCGTGGGGTCCGAGGACGATATCAAGCGGCGCTGCGAGGCTCGGCGTTGTTGACGAAAGGTCCGAGCTCGCGGTTCATGGTGCGCGTGACAAATCTATATAAGCACGAAAGATCGGTAACTGGGAGAGAGAGAGAGAGAGAGTTTGTAGAAAAAGCAGATGGTGTACGGGTGTAAGTTGTGCGAGCGGAGGCGCGTGTCCGTCCAGTCGCGGCAAGTGCTGCTGAGCGACTGACTGAGCTCCAGCGGCCGACCATACAACATGCCCGTATAGAAGAGCGGCACTTATTGCCACTTGTGTTGTATGTGTCGGAGCGGCAGCAGCCCGATGCTGGTTCAGCTCCGGACTCCGGACTCTCCGACAGATACATGTGTATATAAAACACACTTCGATACGACTTGCACATGAATTTATATATAGATTGTCCGTACACTATACATTATTTTGTAAGTATCAATGCCGAAAAATTTTTTATATATGCGTGTACGTAAGGTACATTTATACACGTGTATTTTTACATACGAGATGAGTTGGGCACTGGCTCTCTCTCTCGTGTGATGGTCCCTTTGGGATTTTTCTATTCGATCTGTATACCTGCACATTTGGGAAACTTTATTATGACAAGTATCGTGTACAAGGCAAGTTCATCCAATAAGTAGAAATGATAGCGATGGAATTTTTTTTTTTCTTTTCGATCGACGTACATGTATTATGAACTCGCGCGTGTGGGTGTGTGTACATTATCAAGATTTCCATATCGCGTTCGAATTCAAGTTTCGTGCGAGATAATATGAAAACAGCTGCCTGTTTGCTGTGTGAAAAAGAAAAGGAAAAAAACCACCTGATGAAACAAAAAAAAAAGAATGAGATTTAAACGCGTTACTGGTACAAGTATGCGAGTGTATGGTTGGATCGGGTGACAAAATCATACCGAAATGAAAAACGAAAGGCTTGGGCAAAACGCAAAAACTTCTCCTCCGTATAATAGGGAAAATTAAAAACCAGCGTACGAGGTTTTTCTAAGGTCACGAGGGAGAAAATCGGCAAAGGGAAGCTTGTAGGTGTATATAAATGTATATGTGTATGTATATGCTTCGGAGGCTGCAAAACAGGGAACAGATAGAGAAAGAGAGAGATGGCCAGACGGGAGAGCCGAGCTGTCTCGTCCGTTCGTTATGTGTTATCCCTCTCTTCCGCTTTGCCGACTCTCTTTCTCTCCGCTGGCGAGCGTGTGCTTATACATACGTATATATGTACCCCCATGTACGCGTGAGCACAAGGGTGAGAGGAAAAAATGAAGAAAAGAAGAAACATAGGGAGGAGGAGGAGGAGGAGGATTTTTCGTACGTGCACGCGGGGGCAACCGGTTGTATCTCCTACAATTTCGCAAGAATGCCCGAAATTCGGCTGCAGAGAGCGCGTTTCGGGCTGCGGAGTACATAAAGCAACTTCGGTTCCCTTTATTCCCTTTTTCGGAGGGATACATCCTACATGTATATACGATGAGCAAAAGCCGATGTTTATATAATATATACTTTCCTTTATACCCTTTGATTTCGCTCATATTTTTAAGAATATGTGTCCTTCTCTCTCGAAGGAAGAAGGAATTAATAGTATGTAGTTTTTTTTTTTTTTTTTTTTTTTTTCGTATCAAAACTCAACATGCGAATCGACAATGGATGAAGAACAAGCAGGAGTTTAAAAGGCTCATCGGAGTATCCAAAGTCTTGTCGGTTGTTGTTTTTGTTTCAGGAAAACCCGTCTTATTTGGTATAATGTGCCCAGGAGCCATTTTTGGGCCATTTCGGAAAACCAATGATGAGCCCGGTAACTCGGGGGGCAATGAGTGCCTTGGCACTTTTTTTCCAATTCAACGCACGCCACAGGACATTATACGCTTTCAGTGAGGACTCGGAGCGCATTATACGCACTTTAGATTATCCGAGAATGTTTTCTTCGGATTCGAAGCTCGAATTCGGTGTAAAGCCGCATCTTCCCGCCCAGTCACGGCATACATCACATTTATTTATGAAGTATATATTATATAGGTGCATACAGAGTGCCACAATCCCAATCTACTAAAACAATAAAACAGTTCAAGGTCTTCGGCTGTAGAGAATACACTTGTACGTATACTGTTATTATACGTACGGATCCACCCTTAAAAAAAAAAGCTGTTCGTTCCAAAAGTCATAATATTATCATTACCACAAACGATGTAATATTTTCACAGCTATCATCGCGTACGTGTGTATAAGATACAAATATAGGTGCAGTGTCTTATTATTTCTCGCGGAAAGCCGATCTTTTTTTTTTTTTTTTTGTTTCTTGCTGGCAGCCTGAGAAATTTCATTTCTTGCGCTCACGTGCCGATTTTTTCGCACCATCCGATCCCCTTTGCGCAACACGCGAGACTTTTTTGGTCCTTTTTCCCCAGCGCTCGTCCTATTTGCCGGGGGGAACAAAAAGGGGGCCGCATTGGGTACCTATATATACACTGTACGTGTGCATGCGAGAGTGCTACTCTCGATCTCTCGAGTCCACGCGGGCGCACACACACTCGCTCGTTAAATTTCAATCGGATCTCTCTGATTTATTTTCGCCTGTTTTCGCTCTTGCCGTGGCCGATCGTGCCGCGAGAGATTCGAGCGGATAATCCACGCGAGAAAGAGCAGAGACGAAAAACGTGTTTTTTTTTTTTTTTATACATACATATACACACAAAGGGTTGCTTCTTCTTGTGTTCTTCCTCCCTCCCTCCCGCCCTTCGTCTTCGCTTCTCTCGACTCCGTAATCGCGATAGAGACATTTATTTTTAGGTCCTGCTCATCCCAAAAGGCGGCTCCTTCCTTTTTTTTCCTACACCCATCTATGGCTGTGTGCGGGTATACGCGCGTATACCATCAGGGGAAATATTTTTTGGCACCGATATTGAAAATTCACCCGCACAAGCACGTGTCAGGATCTTGCATCTTCATCATTGAGAAAAAAAATCTGTTTTTTTTTTTTTTTTTTCAAGAGATATCCCAACTGCTTTATCATTTCGGAGGTAAGAATATTACTCTGTGCATAAATGGACACCGCCACGATTGTTACGCAGTAGCCTTTGTTAGAAAAAAAAAAATAATAATAATCATAATAATAATAATAATACAAATAATGTACGTGCAACGGGGCAACGCACAAACTCACTTGACTCGTTTCAACACGCGAGGAATTAGTTATCCGAACCATGTACCTATGTGTATGATAATTTCAGCAAGCTAATCGGTCCGAGTGAAAGTTTGTCAATAAAAATAAATAACAATGTTTTTTTCGTTATCTCGTTCAGTCAAGGGGGTATATATTATATACCACGCGCTAACGCGTTTTATGTATGCAGGGCCTAAACAAATAAGTTTTAGTGCGGTTAAAACAATAGTGCCGCTCGCATTTTTTTTGTTTTTTTGTTTTTTTTTGTTTTTTCAATCAACACGAATGTTTAATGATTTGGCAAAATAAATCCTCCATTATCACCTGCATCGTTCGATCAACGTGGCATGGCATTCACGTGGGGGTTGACACTCGTTATAAATAATTCACAGCAAGGGTATATACCTATGTACGTGTATGTGTAGTTAAACAAAATTAAAAAAAAAAAAGAATAGGCAAAGAACAAAATATCAAAAGAGGAAGATGGATAAAACAAGTAAAAGAAGGAGGAGGAGGAGGATGAGGTTTTTCTTATTTGGAAGAACGTCCGTTCACGTCCGCTCTCTCTCTCTCTCTCGCGGCGAAGGATGTATAATATGTTTCTTCTTATCGCGACCAACGATTCGTTTTGGTGTTTCGCAGTACATCAGCAACAATCAAAGGATCAAAGGTGAGCGAATAAACATACATTACGAACAATTTGCCTCATGCGCAACTATAAAGATACTACTGCTAATGTAATGGTAAAAATTTTTATTAAAATTTCTTAACATGTATGGTTAACGGATGAAAATGTTTGATACAACTATAGGGTTACCAATACCGATTTTTCGCTTATTTTTTAATCATTTAAAAATATTCGTGAAAGTACGGTGAAGTATTATATATACACCCTTGCAACGTGCCGAGCTGCAGAAACGTATATATATAAGGCCACATGCTTGGCACCGAGCGCAGTTGTTTTCGTAAAAATATACATGTATATATAGGGGAATGCATTTTTCCGCATTTACTACGGTAGAAAAAGCAACAACGTTACGTACAAGTGCAACCTCGGCAAACAAAAAAGTGTGTGTGTGTGTGTATAGATGTATAGATAGTTAGTGTCGACAAGCAAGGAGGAAAAGCACCAGGAGATGAAAGGAATCTGTTTTCCATTACCCCGTGCACACAATGTGTATACATGGGCTGCAGTTGCCGAGGCACGCGCGAGCACCGCAACCAACCAACCAACAAAACCATATATAATACCACCCCCTCTCTCTCTCTCTCGACGATGTTGCGCTCTTTATAAAGCTCACGCCCTCCTCGAGCCTCGCTGCATGTTTCTTCGTCTCTTCTTATTATTTTCCTCCTTCTTGTTCTCTCTCTCTCTCCACCTGGGCCACAGAGAGCGCGGATATACCTGGAGGCCGCCTGTACCTATATACCTACCTTATATACATGCACTACGAGAGAGAAGATGGGGAGGACTATATAACAGGTGTGCCGACTCGCAGTCTCGCCCGAGCGTTTTTCCCTGTCGGTGTGTCTGGCCGGGTCTGTTGGTGTCGGTGCCGGCACCGGGTTGGGGATTCCCGCTCTCTCCTCCCTTCAGTTGGCTATACCTATATATACACATGTGTCTCTTTCTCTTCCACGAAGTGCGGTACATTATATAT